ACACCGTAATATTAGGACTTCCCATTTGCCACTACGATATAACCGAAATTTCGTCCAGTAGATATTAAGCTGACTTCACAAATCAACTTTCATAAACAGAACAACTGGGAACATACTTTAGTCCTGCGTAATGGAACCACTTCTGTCCATCCATTATTTGGTGTTGGAACTACTTTTACAACTGTAGCTCTTTCAACATTCGATTCCTGAAAAACTGACATCATTTCTAAATTCGCTAGCTGACAAAAATGAAGCTTATTTTCTCAAGGAGTATAATAAAGAAAGCAGGTATGTTGATAAAACAAACATATTACATATGAACAAGTCAGCAAGCAATGAACATTGACAAACCAATTGCAGAACAGTACAGTCAAAATCTGAAACAAGAAAGATTGATCAAACTTTCATAAAATTGATTCAAGTTTTCAAACTATATGAAAACAATACTAACTTATTGCTATAATTTAAGCATGAAATAAAAGAACAAAACAAATCAATCAAATACACCTGTAAAATGCCGATAGAAGCCATGATAATGCATCCTAACTCCCAATACTCGTTCATTCCATACACACTAAACCATAAATAAGCCCATCCTCCATACAAGAAAAGAAATGGCCCAGCATATGCGTGTGCAATTATTGGCTTCACTGTGTATAGGACATAAGAATCAATAAGCTGGTCAACGGGCATTTTTCACTACACAACTGACTGATCCAGTTCAATCTGAAAGGAGAGGAAATTTCGAATATCCACCTCCAGCCACAATCACAGTTAGTCCGAAAACACTGGAACAACCAGACTAATTCTTTATTTCACTTTATTATGTAAAAAAAACAAGCGGCTTGGCTGAGCCTGATCTTACAAAAACTTGATGTTTCTTTAAAGATCTTTGGAAGCAGCATATAGAGCATCGTCTGAGAACGCTTATATATTTTGAGATCGCAAGCTTAATTTATTCAAGAATAGAACATTAAGCAACGCGATCACAAGAAATCATCTAAAATCAGGAAGGAAATCATTCCATCAGTACCTGAAACTCTTCAGACGGCTGCAAAAATCAACCATAATAAAACACTACCTCCATTATTACCTTGTCCTCACATGCACCAGTCCGCCTGCATTATTTGCGAGTGGTAACGCTGTGCAATATTACCCATAATGCCGTATATTTGGATTTCCCTAATTCCAGCAGCCCTAATTATTTAGTAGATTTCAGGCGGGGAAGTTTATATTAGAACTGAAGTACTTGTCTTCAGTTTGCGCGGGTGACAAAAATTATAAGATAACAGAAAAAATGAACTCCGATGTGAGCTAAGTCCCGTACAAGTAAGAGGTATGCCTTAAAACTTATTAAACACCCCAGCAATACAGTCTACACTTGTCAAACGCTAACCTTCAAATTGTAAATGCATAGAAGAAATTGAAGTGAAAATATTAGTGGTATAAGTCCTACAAAGTTTCAAATTAATCTGGTGTGACATTAAAATGTGCAAAGATAGACGATAAGTCATGTTGCGTATTTGGCGAAGTGAGTAAAAGTGATAGGATTGGAGGAATATACAGCTAAAATTAAAACTGCAAATATAGAGCGTCGTGTGATGAAATCTTCTATATTTTTAAACCCGAAGAAAAGATAGGAACTAGTAATTCAGTTCGATTTTTTAACATTAATTTGATGCAAAGTCTTGTTTCGGCATCGTGACTGTAACCACCTCCGAATTCGCATTTAAGGTAAGAATTTGACAATCAAATATATTTTTAACCATTGAAATCCTAAGTAGCAAATATGTTTCAGAATATTTTTTTGACGACTTGTATTATCTCTTCAGATTTACCCACGGTAACATCATTGTGAAGATAATCATCTCAAAAAAAAAAAAAATCCATGGAAAAAAGACCGTCACAAATGTTGCCAGTCTACCAAAATACTTTAATTGATAATTTAATGAAAAAACTGTTTCGAAATTGTGTAGCAATGTATAGTCTCATCTTTTTTATTAAAATTACTTTAGCATGTTCCTGAAACTCTCGAGAACTTCTTAATTCCCCTCTTTTTTGTTTGCAGACTTCACTAATTAGTTAATAATGAAATAAGTCCTGAAATATGAACTCCAATGGACGTTAGTTGAAGTAAGAAATCCGGGTTTTTGGAGCTTCAAGAGTTACTTCCTTTGCATGTAATTGGTATTCAGAAAAAAAAGCCCTGTCTTTGCTGTCTGGTAAGTACCCTGAAACACCAAATACAGAAATGAAGGAAGTATTGAAAGCTCAACAAAATTTAAAAATAATGTGGAGTGGGATGCGTCCTCTTACTATCCTCTCACTTGCAAATGCGCTGACCACATCTCTGGTGTAACAATTGAGTGCGTCGCCACGATTTCTGGCACCTAGGGAATTCAGAGGGTGAAGTCAATGATTCTTCCGTGTTGCACACTGACCCGAAATTGTGCAATGCGTACAGAGAAATAACAGTCTTAAGAGACCGGACGGACGTTACGTTCCTGCTTGCGATGTGAACCGTTACTGTTAGGTGACCCAATAGTTAAGCGAACAAAGTTTATCTTACAGAGACGCTCATGTATCGTATTTGATAAAGATCTTGCGACCACTGTTGCTTTTATGATAAGCAAAGCAGGCAAGGTGAGTCGGTGCGTCGCGCTGTGTGTATAAACAGCCACTGCAAATGGCACACACATGCGTTTCGCTGCCGTTGTCGGTAGGAACTGACTGAGAGCACTGATAACGCTAGCAAGGCACACTCCTCGGCTTTTCCTTATCTATTTACTTACACACTCCCATGTATGTGTGTTCCTACACGTGTATCTATCTATGTGTATGTGTATTGTGTATGCACATATGTGAATGAGTAGTGTATGCATATATGTGAATTAGTATCGATTGCTTCGGCGTCGATGATGTAGTCAATGGGTGGGTGGGGACCGCAGCAAGCAGGTGGACCGTGTCGCGTATACTATAGAAGGATACTTACAAATTGCAGAGGGAGCGAGAGTGCTTTCCGGGAAGTGTATATAGCAAGTTAGGTTGCTTATACTGAAGTGTATTAGTCTCGTGGAATATTATCCGATTTCTTGATTAAGACGGTACCTTTCTGGCAATTTAGATATTGTAATTGATGTCATTACTGTTTTCTTGTTACTAGTACTTATCGTTGATTTTTTGCTGGTACCAATTATTCATTACTATTGGCTATTAAAATCTTTATTCCCACTAATCTTCATTATATTACTATTACCGTTTACTATTCATTAGCTGCTATTATTATTAATTATTATATATTATTATTGTTATAAAATTATTATTATTAGGTACGTGCTTAAGATCATCAAATTAATTTTATTTTCGATTGCGGCTTCTGCCGTAAACAAAATCTGAAGATTTGCAGAGAAAATGGAAAGATCTATGGAGATTGCATTTAATCACCACGTGCTGCATTACTCCGTACTCTTTCCATTTCACATTAATAATAATTTGTCATCATGTCATCATTGGCCTTACAATTTCTCCAGTTTTCTCAACTAAGTTGCAGTACAACATTTGCTAATTCGTTTGTCTTTTTCTGTGGTATCTGAAAATTAAGGGCAAGGCGAATGGACGCAAAAGCTTAGTTTAGAGTTTGTTCTATATCAATTAAGGATCGGAGGTGATTAGAGACAGACTTTTGATATAGAACAGTTTTTTTTTTTTTTTTTGTTTAACTGATGAAGTCGCAAGGGTTTATATAATTATTATAAGATTACTAGAGAAGTTGAATTTTACAAACTAATTTTTTTCCCTTCTGAGATTGAAAATTTTGCTCGCAACTTTAAGCAGTGCACTCAAATCTGCAAGCTTGCATTTATTTACTCCGGAATGTTGACAAATTTATAGTTACGATTTAGAGTCATTAGCAGCTTATCTTTCTTGATTTTCTGTGAGAAATTTGTTGTTTTATAGATATTATATCCATAAAACATTAGGCTAACAGTTCAGTTCATCGCTGTCTATCTTATCTCATATATACTGTGAATGATGTAATTTTTTGTAGTTGAATCATACTTATTCTTTAAGTATAATTTTGAAACAGGATTACTTTAGAGAATCTTTTTCTCATTTTTTATAGTTTCCAATTATTCATTAGAACATGTGAAAACTCGCTTATAAAACAAAAGGAGTAATGTGCATTATAGACCGACACTGTTCGTCTCCTGGCTTTTATAAGCCGCAGGTTATTTCTATTAGTATTTAATGGAGGGATGCTGAAATTTAGCTGCTGCTAGTATGTAAAAATCAAGACTATATAATATTAGACTATATTATTGTCAGAGTGAGGTGAAGTTATAGACAGTTTCTATAAAGGTGTTAAAGTAAGACCAAGATTAGTTAGGATCCAGCTAACTTCGTGGAGTTAAGATGGTAAAATTTCAGTCAAATTCAATAATGCAGAACATATTTTGTTAATAAGTGAGTGATTGAAAGAGAAGCTCTGAGTTATCTTTGTGTACTGTTTTGATGTTTGTGACATTATTATGAATTATGGGAAACTTTGTGTGGAGTTGTAAAAGCAGTCGTATGGTGTCACTGCCTTTTGTATTGTCTACAAGGTCATTTGAATGCGACTGATGTATAATTTGACATAATTCTCACTGTTAGCACGTAATGCGATTTGTATGGCAAAAATTTTCTTACATTTTGCTGAATGGATTAGGTCATTTCTAATTTATGCGCACGCTCCAGTTTATTTAATCGGAAATTTGAACTTCGAACTTCTCCAAGCTTGAAACACCTTGTACCACCAAAAACTTCCGATGTGGAGGCCATGTGTAATTGTTTAGTATCAGCCACAATATCGCTATTTTGTTTTGGAATATAAAAATTTCCTTGAATCACAGACAAGCGTGAGCAAAACTTTTTTTATTCATTGTCACTTTTGTTTATCTTACGTTTTCATTTTGCAGAAAGAAGAGATCGATTCAACAATGATTATTTAAATAAATAAAATGGAGCAAGGTGAAGTGTTTATTGTGGATGAACAGGTTCCTTCTTTAAAAGTTTCACGATCAGATGTGATTAAGCCTACGGGGGAGGAAAAGGTCGCGGGAAGGAAATAACATCTAATTTGAAATATTTTCTTCTTGGAAATTGTTCCTTAGCAGTGTTAATGGATTGCCTTCCCCACTATAACTACATAGATGGTTTAGGACTTCTATAGTCCTCAGTTTTTCCAAGGACAGCAGCACGTTTCTATTTCAGGAAGGAGAACTAGATCCGAATGATGCATGGTTGATGCGCGCTGCAGGCGGTGAGGAGGAAATTGAAGCAAATGAACTTCCGATGGGAGCGGTTGCTGCTGCCCAAGATGATGACCAGTTATCCTTTGAGGTAGTTATACTTACAGCAGTGTTTTTCGAAACACAGCTAAAACTTTCCCCCATCTAGGAGAGCGTATTTACCAGTGGCAAGGTATGTTCTAACTTACTGGTATCAGAAATAGCGCAGGATCGGACCGTTCGATCACAGCATAAATAGCTTTTGTAATTCACTTATTGATTAGGCTATTTAGTTGTCTGTCTGATCTTGTTCAAATTATTCAGTCAGTGTCACTCCTTCATCATTACCAAATCTAGATCGAATTTAGAAGAATACTTGGAACATTTTCAATAGAAGTATAAAGTTCGAAGTATGTTCTCTATAGATCATTTTTTTTTTTTTTTTCAGATGCTGCTGTACGGTGATTTAGAATTATTTAGTAAATCTTTAAAATGTTGAGAAATTGAGAAAACTAACTTGTGATATTGTTCAGGATTCGGAACGCTTTGAGGAAGATTCTCTGTGTTCATGGATGTCAGATGCTGAATCTTTAAATCAGAATTGGCGTGGATGGAGTACGACGAGGAATCCAGCTGCACAAACTGGAATCGGTAAGATTGCATGATAAGATTCTATTATAAGTGCATAAAGGTCTCAAGGAGATATAGGAAATTTTGATTTTAGAGCATACATTTGGTGACGGATCAGGTCCATTGTTACCAAGTTCGTTATTACGCTTTACTGGAGGTATCACATCGCCATCACAGTCTCGTAGGCATCCCACATCTACTTCTGCGACTACAATGAACCTGAGTTCCCCTGCTTCAGCAGCTAGTGTTTGCGCACATACAGCAAGTTAGTTTCTAAAAAAAAAAAAAGGTGTATAGTGTGGCTAAATTGTTTTTTCATTTTTTTTGTAACAGCTACCATCCTTACACATATGTCTTCAGTGAGATTCAACCTTTTGCAGCATATAATATACGTAGTCTAGCTGAAATGGCTGCTCGCGTTGCTGCACGGTGTTTCTCATTCGTAATGTTGGAGGCGTGCTATCACGCGATTTCAGTTGAAAAGAGAAGGATAAATCTCAAAAGTGGTATGAGTGACTGTTCCGTTATATTTGAAAATGCTTTCGCAGAACATGCTGCAATTCCTGATAAATTTTTCTTGAGCATAGTGCGTTGGTGTTTTCCTGAAAGCGAGGAGGATGTTCGCTTATATAGGTAAAGATTTCGATTCCGAAAATTACATTTTGTTGGAAGATCATAGGAAGCGTTGTATTATTTTTTTACAAAATTGTGAAGGCGATATTAAAATATGGGTTTCAAACACTGTATTTTATCTGTTTATTAGTTACCTTACTTCTTTAATTCATTATTTCAGCTGTTTGGCAAATGGCAATGCCGATGAGTTTGATAGAGGAGAGTATTTGTATCAAGCAAATGCGGTTCATGATGTTTTCCAAATAGGTCTGTTGAATATGAGTTTCTTAGATCTTTCCTAATAAAGTAAATAAACCTGTTTCATTCATCTATGAGGTGTTAACTTTAGCATTTTTCTATACATTAGGGTTTTTTGTGATTGCTTAAACGTGTGTATATTCGAATCCCATAAATGAAAGGGCAATTAAGCTGTAAAGCAATTTTGTGTGGGATAATGGTAGCAGTTATCTGCGTCGATCTTCATCATTGATATTGATATGATACTGGAATAGAATGTTTATTGTTGATCAATTTTTAGAAGCAGTTGGTCTTCCAATTGTTCATGGCTTCTACTGACATGTGATTTTTAGAGTAGATTGCACAACTTATTGCTGTAGATATAACATCGACTGCTTATAGGTTATCATATTTCCGCTGTAGTGAATGCAACAGGTGCTTCTTCTATAGTCACTCCAACAAGTTCATCAGTTCCTCCTTGTCGTTCAAAAATGACATACAATGTATCAGTTCGTGTGGACAGGTTTGTCCTCGAATTCTTCCAGAATTTGGGATATAATTATGTTGAAATAAACATTGGTATTCACTATTACTGCATAACAACATTGTAGGTAGCTAGCTGTACAAAGTGTTTTATACGGTATTGATCTCACCCATTTTTTTTTCAGATGTCGCATAGTATCATGTAATTGCTCATGTGCTTTCAAGGCATCATGGTGTCAACACGTTGTCGCTGTATGTTTGTATAGAATAAATAGAGTCAATGAAGTCGAGTATCGTGTTACCATTTGGGACTCAATCAATGAACTTACAAATGAAGAATTAAAAAAATTGGCCCAATTTCTTATAAATGACCTTCCTCGTCAGGTTGAGTTGTCTCGAAAAATATTCGAAAAAAAAAAAAATGAAATTTCCAAAACTGTTGCTACTGAAAAAATATTTTCATTTTTGGTAGTGTTATTTCAATAACACTACAGATTTGTAAAATTTAAGTATTTGCCTGTGGCACAGCGTTTGATCGATCAGTTGCGGAATCCAAATTCAGAAATAAATGCAGCAGTTGGAGCACCAGATCCAACAGATGGAGGTCATGATAACGTTGCCATTTGGTGCTTGGATCAACGTACATTGCATGAAAATATTCGTCGGATACTGATCAAGTTTTGTCTTCCCTCACCGACTGTGCATTGGTATATTTTTTTAAAATAAAAGTACGGCTAGGTCAGGAATCAACTGCGTGCATGAGAAAGTTGAAATATTTGTTGTTGAAGTTCCTACTTCCAACGTTTGATTCAAGAACAATATTTTTACAGTGATGTGCAATACTTATCATCCAATCAGCCACCTGCAGCTAGTGAGTGGTTGTCCCTTTTTCGACCTCATAGAGCAAAAGAGCCTGAAGGTATGCTGATGACAATTGATTGTAGAAGATATTCAGATGTGTTTGTAATGCAGTTAATTTTATTCTGAAGGTTTATGGAATCTTTTATCAATTGTACGCGAGATGTTTAAACGTCGTGATGAAAATGCGACCAGCCTTTTACATATTATTACCGAAGAATGCTTAGCTTGTTCACAAGTTTGTTTTTCTTTGAATTCATTTAATAAAATTATTGTCTATTTTTACAACTTTATGTCCAAATTATGTGTTCAGTTTCGAGACCAAATATGTGTAGATCTTGTATCGTTTCGAGACCAAATATGTGTAGATCTTGTATCTTGTCGCTTTTTAAGCCCAAAAATCTGCTGTAAACAAAGGTTAAAAAACGTGAAGTCTCTGGAGAATATTTCGTTGATAAAACTCGAAATGTTACAGTAATTAAAGTGCCAGCTAAAAGAAAACATGAAAACGTTTAGTTCCTATACTTCTCTAAGTTGCTACGATATTACTGAGATAATATTCAAAAGCGGAAATTATTAATTTAATGTTACCATAGAGTCATAAAACTTTTACTATATAATAAGGAATGATTTGGTTTCTACATTTCTCAAATGTTTAAGTCTTTTAACTTTCAGGTCTTAATTTGGTGGTATCAAACTGCTTTATCTCAATCCGGACAATGGACACTTTGTTCGCCGTCTACCAACAAGTCAAGTTCATTAATGTCAAATCAGAAGACGCCTCAGCTAAACTGTGCATCACTCTGTGATGAAATAGTACAGCTATGGAGACTTGCTGCTTTGAATCCACGTTTATCCTCTTTTGAAAGAGAACAAGTATGTAGTAATGGAATGATTTTTTTTTAATAACTTGTACACATTTTTCTAGCAATATATATGTTTCAGTTGACTAGTTTCATACAAATATATCATCGGAATGCTGTAGAAAGGATATGGAAATATATTTGTTTCTTGACGAATCCTGAAACATCAGTATCATCAGTAAGTTAATCTCGTCAACCGTTTTGATACATTCCTTACTTCCTAATTCATTAAATTTGTCTTTATTTTATTTAATTTGTGTCAGTATTCATTTCATTTGTGGAACTGAGGTATTTGTTTGATCAATTTTTAAGCAAGCTGCCGGTTTCATTATGTCAGTTGTTGATCGACAAGGACAGCGACTTTCCGCAGAAAATGCCCGTTTCACTGCTGATTTGTTTCCGGGATTTTTGAGTGCTTTAAGAGCATGCCAGATTAGTTGGAATAACACTAACATACAAGGATTATTGTTTGGATCAAATAACGTAAATTACTTCCAACATTGTTAATAACTTCCATTTTTTAGTCGCTCTACAATAGAAATTTATTGATATTTAACTGATTGATATGCTTGTCAGTTCTCTGAGGATGATCTAACATTTTCTGGCAAACTTTTGTATCAAGAAATATTGCTCAAGTTTCAGAATATGTCAGCTGATGATTTTCCGAATAAGTTAAGTCCAAATATTCCTGTTCTTCGTCGTCCTTTACGGGTTTCTGAAGATACTACTTTATTGGATATCAGTACATCATTTTACCGCACATCAGTGTATACAACCGGGACAAACTACTTCTCACTTCACCAGCAGGTTGTGAATGATCCTTTATTTTGTAAATTGATAATATAGTCAAACCAGGTTTATTTTTGTACTGATTTTAACATAAAGTAACAAAAAAGTAATTATACATTGAAGGCTTCACGTAAAAGAAGGAAGAAGTCTCGCATTTCCGGACGCCGTGGACATCAATTTGAATTTCATGATGAGCGATCTCTAATTCGTGCCGTGCGCGCCGCTGCTTGTGCTGCTCGCGAAGCAGCCTTAGGTGAAGAAGTTGAAGACGATAGTGCTGAATCAGGACAGGAAAGCGAAGCTGGTCCATCGGTGTCGCGAAACAACAGCAGGACAAACAGTACAACAAATCGTAATGAATCCGCTGCAACGTTAAGGTTTTTGTTGATGATATAAACAGAATATTTTCTATCTTATGAGTGATTTGGTGTTTTCATCTATGTTTTCTTACGTACTTTAAAGGAGGATAACTTTATTTAATAACTATAAGATAGCCCATTACAAGGACAAGACATCTCGATAACAGATACTCCGGACAATTGTTGTAGTATCATCCAGTTTTGTTTTTTGAACTGAAAATTCGGCATCGCTAACATAAATATGGCTGAGTTCATATGTGTAAATGCAATTAATTTTGATCTCTTTAGCAATATGAACTATCCAAAAAATGATGTTGATGAATTATTCGCTATTGCACATGTACAGCAATCAAATTGGGATATCAAGTTCGCCAGATGTGAAGCCCTTATGTCACATGGATATGCACATCAGGCATGTGTAATGGCAGTGGAACTTGCGGAAGAAATGTTGCGCCGTCCTCCAAATCTACTTCACCCAGTGGAACAGCGATATAATCCTGAATTACCTGCAGTTAGTGTTGAAACTAAAGTTTTACATTTACCAACTTTTGTAAATTAATTCATTTGTTTTATTTTGTCTTGAAACTTACTTTCATTGAGTATTGTCAGCTAATACGAAAATCATTGTTACTGTAGATGCAGAGGCATAGAAGAACACGGTTTTCGCAGCCTGGTTCTGTCTTAGAAGTCCCTGTTTTTGAAGTTGATGGACAACTGATCGAGAAGTCACAATTAGCAGAAAACATATATACAAGGTGATCTAAGATTCCCCATTATTATTTTTTTTTAATACTTTATACTCTTCATTGCGTAAAAGATCAGAACGGTGTTTTTAGAACACTTTTTCTGGTTCAAGCGTTAATGAAGGAGCCAAAAACACATCGACTGGCTTTTACACTTGCGATATCTGTACTTGAAATACCTCGTAGTCCTGCGGCAAATAAATTTCAGGAAGTGAAACTTTATTATTTGGTATGACTTTTCGTTGTTCATAATACTAGCTTACTTATTATTTTGAAGATGTGGAAGATTTCGTTCACTGATAGAACACCATTAGTGTCCATAAAAAGTTCGTTGTAGTAGCTTTAGAAGCCTATAATTTATGATGATCTTGTTAAGGAAACAGAGCTGGTTAGCTTGTTAAGAAGAATAGAAATTGGTACTCCAGAACTACAAATAATCAGAGATCGAGCGAGGAGATTCGTGGAAAATGCTGTTCGTTTAGCGTCTGTACCTCAGCCTTACGTTTTGCCGATTTCATTGGGTCATTACATTTTAGATTCCTTGTCATTCTCTCACAACACTTGTCAGGGGTAAGTTTCCCGATTTTTCATAAATTTTACCTGGAAATCTGTGTTCAGTACTGTTTTCCCTTAAATTTTGAACTAAGATTTAATTTGTAGACGCCGCACCACAAGCGGCATTGTAACGAAAAATGGTGTACAACGACGTCCTTGCGATGAAGAATTAGCTATAAAAGTCGCTTTAGAAGCGCTGGGTATGAAATTAGTGATTTCCGAAGCTGATTATTCTATGCTGTGTGAAAGCACACGACTGCAACGTGGTGATTTGGCACTCACAGTGCTACTAAGGTTAACCCCCAATATTTTGTTTAGTATCATATTTAGACTATAAAACTAGGATGATGGATGATAGAGGCAGATGAATTTTCTTCCTTAAAAAAAGAGAGAAGATATACAGGAGAAAATTCAAGTTCTGTGCCATTTAATTGTTTGCAAAGTAGTTTTTACATTATTTATAGGTATAAAGATAATATTGATAAACTGGCTTTAGTACTGGACAAGCTGCTGGACCCAACTATGCATCGTATGTACAAGTAATTTTTAATATTGTTACATTTGCATTCTTTGAACATAACACTGACAATAAAAAATATGTCATTGTTTACGTTGTGGATACACCAATTCGTTTTTTTTCCAGGGATCATCATTCCAATGCTGCATTTTTCTTAGAGCAAGATCCACTTTACAAAAAATATTTCAATGGTCAACGACCGCATTTCCCTTTCAAGGATGAATTTTCTCGTACCGATTTTACCGAGACTTCAAATGGTATTGAAGCAAGAGAAGTTTCTCTACCTTGTTGGTTTAATTCATAATGAATTCGTTGTCAAAATGCAAATTCAAGTGAAAGGAAGAATTGGTAGTCATAATATAGAACCTTATACATTTTAGCAAATGTATAAGCATGTTAACTGTTTTACTGTAGTTAGTTTACTAAAATTTAGCAGGTCTGTCCGGTGCTGAAACAAGTGTTATGATTACTGAAAATATGTACGAAAAAAGGGCAAATAGTGGCAAATGTGAAACTGAACACCTTATTAATACTTTCATACGTTTGTCGCACGACTCACCGTAAGTTTGCAGATTCGTCAATTTGGTTGTAATTTATATTGTTTGCTAACAAAAAATTGGGTTCAACATATAAGCTACCGTTTCCTTTTAATGGTGTTTGAACTTTTTGAGGTAATGGTGAGCAAATGATTATTGGTTTCCCAGTAGAGTGTTAAAATAACATTTGCTTTTATGAAGCATATGTCCTACAAAAATAATTGCTGTAGGATCTATAACAATTCCCATGTTATTTACCTTTAGTGATGATTCATCATCAGTAACATCTGCGAGTAGGCGACGGTCATCGGATGAGAGTAATGATAGTCCATATGACGAAAGCAGCAGCTCAGGGGTTTCAAGATGTATTCCTCGTGATAGGTTGCATGTTGGTTGTTAAACATTTTTCTCAATTTTGATTGTTTTAAATAACAAAGAAAATTTTTGTCAGCGAATTGAGTAATCACACTGCTTGCTTTTTTATCTACATATATTTCACAACTGACTTTACTTTCCCTTGTTGTCAAATATTAAGCAGAGAAGTAATTTCGTTATTCACTAAATCAAATTTTAAGAGCTCCATTTTTTTGTTTCTTTCATTGTTTCATATATAACGAAATATTCCGTACTGTAAACAGTATTCACTGTTTACAGGAAAGTCACTCAGCTTCTGTTGGTACATCGGACTCACCATCACCAGCCCATCGTCCTCCAAATATTCTAACTTTGGATAGCGCAAATGAATTCTCTTCAGCACCTGCAGGGCATCCAGCAGAGTTAAATAATGTATTTTATCGACATAACAGGTAGATTTGTCAAATATGTGTGTTTCTATGCTTGTAGTTAGCGCAGTTTAATTCAATTAAAACCTAATATTAAGTGCCATTTTCATGTACATGGCTATTGAACCCGACAGTTATCTGTGTCCATTTACTCGAAATATTTGTTTTAGACTACCCAAAAGTTTCCAAACATTTAAACAGGCTTTGGTCTTTAAAACAATTCTATTTGTAACTGTAGATCATTCATAGTAGAATTTATTTAAAACATTCGGTATTAGAAAAATAACGACATCAAGACTTTGTTAAGTTTCATCATTGTTATACGTGATTTCTTATGTTATTACAATGACGGGTACTCGTTCATAAGACAGCTTTCTGTGCTCTGAGTAAAGTCCTTACTAAAATTATTCTATTACTTAATAGTAAAGAAATATGAGTTCGACTGAATATATTATTTGTAGACGAAAACCAGTCCCTAGTATGTCCAATCAAGCTTCTGAAGGACAAGCACACTGCATGATGGAACTTGCAAAACGTCTTCTTCTCGAAGCTGGTGGTAGCCAGAGTACCGTTATTTTTAATGCCTCACAAGGCAGTCAAAACAATCAGCAGCGCAGTGGTTTTTTTTTTTTTTTTTTTCGAGTATTTTACTGATTTCGGGTTTGTATTAACTACCGTAAAAATTCCCAAACATTCACAGGTCCTCACCGACAGCTGCACATTTGTTCATTCCTGATTGGACTTTATGCTCTGGGCTTGAACAACTTGTTGTCAGCAAGTTGGCAAACTCGAACTTACAGCACTAATGTTAGTTGGATACATGGCCAAGCGATCGAAATTGGTAGGTTTGATTTTTTTTTTTTGCAGATGAAGAAAAAAGTTACTTGTGTTTATTTATATGCCACACGCTTAGCATTTAGGTTGTGCGGCGATCAAAATTGTTGAACGAGTCTGGGAAACACATTTAACACCTACAGAAGTCGCTGCATTGGCCGATAAGGTAATATATACTTTTGATCGAACTGATTTCAGTGTTGTCTTTTGGGTTTTTGGAATTGCATGTTAAATATATTTTAGGCTAGTCAGAGTCGTGATCCATGCATGGTTGAAGCTGCCGCAAAACTTGCACTGAGCGTGTTACCAAAGGCATATGCTTTAACAGCTGCAGAAAGTCAAAAAGCTTTGCATCAGTGTAAGGAGCAAAGCTCTGAAATGCTTGAAAAAGCATGTCGTGCTGTTGAACAGGTTTTGTTTACTCATGTTTTAAAGGTTGTCTGGGGTGTTTTTGTTTTGTTTCACATTAAATTAAAAGTCCTATCAAGATATCGCTTGGACTATTTCCTTAAGAGACAATGGTAGAGACTTGGTTTAATTTTTGTTTTAAAAAATCGGATGTTGGCTGAGACATACTTCTGAAGATGAAAATGTAGTATATATAAAGTTTTTGTTTGCTGGAATTATTTTTTCAGGCAGCCGAAAAAGATGGCGTATACCCGGAAGTGTTGTTCAAAGTTGCCAGGCACTGGTTCGACTTGTTTATAGATTCTGAATCTGTTAGTAGCCCACAAACAAGTTTTCAGAATGCGATTCCACAACAACATCCAACTGGGATTTCTCAGTTACACAACGACGTTCTGCAGTCACAGGCCCATGAAGTAAGCGCTGTTCTTTTCTCATATATATACTATTGAACTGTGGAGACAACAGCTGTAAGTAGTCGTAAAAGAAAAAAAAATTTTCCAGAGTCATCTTTTTTTGCTAAAATGTTATGTTGCAGTAAGACATTAAAATAATTACATGAAGATATTTGTACTATTCGGCCAAATTGTGTAGATTATTCCACTCTAGAAACACACCAATTCAATCCAATTGCGTAGAATGTTGGGATTTTTTTTTCATGTTTGCAGTAATTTTTTTCAGACCATTTATTCTGCGACAAATCCACCAGCGCTACAACTTCCTGTTCAGTGCCGACCTGTTCCTTATCCAGCAGCTTCGTATCATTTCATGCCACCACCCCATCATCACCTTCATCAGGCAGGACCACATTGCCCTCCACTCTATGTATCTCCGGTATCATGTACTCAACCGCAAGTTGGAATTCACTATTCCCAGCGGTAAGCACCCAGTGTAGACCCATCTAGAAATTATTCCTTTTTAGTTTACTATCAATAAAGCAGTATATATATACTCACTCAATTCTTAGTTTTGTTTGGTTTTCTTTCTGTTTTGTTATATCGCGTAGTTTTGTTTATTTGCATAGGTTTGTTTGGAAGAAACTGTTGTGTTCATTTAATTACAATTGCAAAAAATGATAAGCAATATTTGGCTGTGGACATTTGACACTGATTGATTTTTTTTCTTAATTCTTTTTATTTCAGAGGGCCATTACCAGTTGGTGCGATGTCAGTAGTGCCGAGACAACAACCAAGTACTATTTATCCTCCGCCTGTGGTTGGTGTTACACCATCACGAGCCCTACACATTAGTCATTCGGCTCCAAATTTAAGCCCTATGCAAGCTGTTCAAATGTCCAGACGCAACCAACCTTTGACTGTTTTGCAACAGCCTATTTGTCTTGGTGCAGGAATGACCCGCTGTCAGTTTCCTACCGTAGGGGAACAGTGCATTCAAGTACTTAAAATTTTCTTGAACTAATTTTAGTGTCCAAAAATGATTATTTTTTATTCGTTATCTCTTCTTTGGTTTAGATTTATTAAACCATCAAATTGGATCTATAGATGAATTTGAAATAACAAAAACAAGAGCACTGTATTTCGATGTTAGGGAAAAATATGTTAATTTTACTTGATTATTATAGCAATTTCAGCCTATTCCAATAAATGATGCTCTGCGGCATCTACCTCCGCCTACTTCGCTTGTACTTTGTCAGTCGACCTCGCAACCAGTCACATATTTTGGACAGTCAGCTCCTCAGGTTTGTGTTTTGGTTACCAGTAGAATTTGTTAAATGGAACTGAACATGCGCGTTGGGAAATTCTAAGCGAACCTACTTTTTGTTGTGTAAACAAACATTTTATTTATTAATGCCAACGAGCAGCAATATGCAAAATCATGCAGTTCAGTTGCAGCAATTTTAGCTCTGAATTTTTCCAGCCTCCAATGAATGTTCCTATTCCATCACCAAGTGCTTCTGTTGTTGGAGATCCTCGTATGGCGAAGCTTGTTCATGCTCATCGTGTGGGAATGATTGCTATGGAAACAATGGGAAGTCGAAACTTGGATGATAATCGTAGCTACGCGAAATTTTCTCAGGTAACATATTCGTAGGAGGATGTGAGTTGCACTATTGCTTGTTTGTTTGCTGGGCACTGGATTAAAAGCAATATTCATTACCGTTTGATATTTCGAGAATCCTGCTTATGCTGAAGACGTTCGTTGGTTATTCACAGTGGCAACACGATTAGGAGGTGTTTTCACCCAAAGTTTTTGTGAAGTAGCAGCTCGATCTGTTGCATCGCCATTCGTTCTTTTTTCATTAGCTGTTGAATCAGCAAAGGTTAGTGCTTTCATGTAATATACTGTTCTTCTTAACGTCTGAATCGTGGAAACTTGGATATTCTTCCAGAGATTTACGTTGAAAGTTTTCAGGTCTTTCACTGGCAGATGCCCTCTATTAGCTACCATTCGCAAGCTGTAATTCACCCTGTCCGGCCTCAGTTAACCACTGGTGCTCCAAATGTAATATTTATGAATTAAAAATATTTCAAGAATTTTGAACATTTATATAAAAAGTGAATCCACTTTCTTTTTTACATCATTGGTAGTGCCTAAAATAAATTATTATAGGTACGGACTATGCTTCTGCAGAATGGATTTGCACCGCCAACAGCCGATTTAATGCAGCATTGCGTTGAGATGTTCTATGCCGCATCCAGCTCTAAGCTTAGCCATCCTCGTTTTGTTCCCTCAGATGTTGAAGAGGTATGATTATTGATATTGGTTATTAATTATGGCAGAAATCGATTGGGATTAGGTAATTAATTAAAAAATGTCAAGGTTAGTTTTATAAAAAAGTAGAAGTAAATGGAGTATCTTGGTCTACTGTTTGAGTCATAGTTTGCTGTGTCATGATATTTTTTTTGCACCGCTTGTCTTACAGTATTTCTTGTGGCCATTTTGAGATCTTGATGCTTAGTTGTACCAATATACGAAATATTCTATTCAGGTCGTTCAACTCGTTAAAACAGCAAAAGAAGCATTCCATTGGATACCAGGGCCGGGGAAATTAATGTTTGAAGATTTCATGCGACATGTTCGGAAGCAAAAAGCTTGTAAAAAGGATGTTGCTCAAAGAATCAATGCTTGTATTCAAAATACAAACTGATTTGGAAGTCACAAATTAGTATACCTCTTCCACATTACCTGATGTTTCATTTTAAATTATTATTTAAATTGGTGATTACTGGAGGGAATAGTTTGTGAACTCAAAGCTAATGTTTGCCAATTGACACATAAGTACAGTACGGTTGTGGCACGTTGTTTCCAGCATTCAGTCAGCCATTGGAAACAGTCAGCATTCATTTTATATATGTATGGTTATGTGGTTGTAGATGATTTTTTCTGCGTTGTATCATTATTTCTATTCGAAATAATTTTATTTCTTTATGTTCTCATTCAAATTAATTTTATATTGTTATGTTGTAATGCGTGTGGAAGATAGGGAAGTTATCTGGCTTTACCTATCGCGATGTTGTTGATGACTGCGGTGCTTTAATTGGTTGACAGAGAGAGTTCATTTTTATCTAGTACGGATCTGTTTATGAAAAAAAGAAAAAAAAAATGAATATATTCTTTAAAGTGGTGGTCCACTGGTTATAGTATTCACAGTTATAAAAATAACGGTTTAAAGGTTTTAACGTAGTGCTACTGAAGTTCAGTATTTTTTTGGAAGTCTTTTTCGTGCTGAAATTGTGGTAGGTAACTGATTTACTGCTGTGCTAATTCGTTCAGGTTTTGTGTTCATCTGCTTTTGTTGATATTTTCAAACATAGCTGAGATGTATCACACGGTAATTATTGAAATGCTTCTGTAATTGTTGAAGGTCAACGCTGGCACATTTCGAAAGAGTCTGTATAATGAAGCTTTGTCTGGAAATACTCGTAATTAAGGTTGTCGACAATTCAAACGTAATATATAGTAATTTTTGATGACATTAGTAAAGAGTTGGGAACCTGTTGTTCGGTTAGCGGTAGCTCCAGCCACTCTGCTGTAAAAGTTAGTTTATGACAGAGTGAGAGTTTAATTTAATGAAATAGGGCGCATAGTGATGCTGTGTTGAATGCGAAGTGAGGGTACCAAATTATGTTTGGCATATCCTTACTTTTGAATTCCATAGCAAGTAAGCGGTATAATTCTATACTTACCTAAGTTATTACTGCGCGTCGTCCCTGCTTCTGTTGTTCATTATTGGAGTTGCTTTTGTTTTGACCTTCGGTCACTATAAATTTCCATACTGAATATGAGTAAAATGGCTAAGAGCGAGATTTTCGCATCAATAATGTGCAGTTGCCGGAGAGTGCTGCTTAGAATTGGGATTGGAAATTATTCTTTGATGAAGAGTCGCAGAAAAAAAAGGTTTGGAATTATTTTTTGTTTTCATATTCAAGAAAAAAAGATTTGAGATTATTTTTTGTTTTCATATATATGGTGTTGTCGTATAAATTGTATTTCCACATCTTTCGTGTAATCATGTTTTCAAGAATGCTACTTTATGAAATGAACAAGGTTGAAGATTGGGTGATATGTTTCTTCGGCATATCAGTAAGGCCTGTCATGCAGTACATACAGAGCTAATCATATTCTACTCATAGGGATATGTTGTTTCATAATTTTGAGTTTGATTGGTGCAGTATTCGTAACCATAACAATTTTCGGCTAATTTTTTTCATATTTATTTGTAGGACGAAAATACTCCCTCCGAGTCGGGTCCGGACCGCGTAGTTTACTGTTGTTAGGTTTAATTGTTGATTGTATAGTTTTTGTATGTGGGGAAGAGCTGCAACATCTCTTTGGCGTTTGAGCAAAAGATTCAAGAATTCTGGAAAGGGAGTTAATAAGAAAAATCACAAAACCGAAGGAAGCACTGAAACCACAAACTACGTGGGAGACAAATCGTCTGAAAGCGCTGTGCTTCGGGTAACTTCTTTGTCTCATTACGAAATAAAAAGTTGAGCAAGAACAGCACTGTTTGTTTTTCCATTTGATTTTAAGCACAGCCGGTTATTATGCTAGAATTTTAGGTAAAGACTTGTGTGACTAACTGTTAATTATTGGGTTTTAAAATTCTAGTGTGTTTGTGGAAAGAATTATGAAAAGTCTCAGAGATTACTTTCCTCAAAGCAGTTAGTGGATTGGTTAAATTCACAATTCTTAACTCTTAATCGGAAGATTTATTCTTTAAGTGTTTTCTGACTTACTTTTAAATGTGATCGGTTGATTTTTGTTTTATTGAGTGTTGAATTTTTGGTTTCATTCCATGTTTTTTCCCTATTCTCTTTTCATATATTTTGATATTGCTTGTATTGTTGCTGGTTTATCGACTAAGGGAACTGGAAGCAGGAAGCAGTCCGATGTGCAGCATACAATGAAGAGTATAAAATTCATGGTTTAACAATGTTTTCTTTCTGTTTATATCTATTACTTTAATACATTTTGCAGTCTCAGACATTCACATCGAGTTTACCGACTTCAACGCATCTTTCATATCTTTCTTCGATTCTTTCTTCGCTGTGGCCTTCTGATGGGACGAGGGAAATAGAAAACGTTGATATAAAGTGGGTTTGCAAATATATCTTGTAATGTAAATATATGGTTCATATTTTATCAGTTTATATTTTTAGTGTCGTCTCATCATCTATTAAAATTAGGACATATAAAATATCTGGAAACAAAATGTTTTTCAAATTTTCAAACAACTTACTTCATATCAGAATCTTTTATTAACGGAAAGTTAGTTTCGCCATCAAAAATAACTGCCTGTGAATAGCTGGGTATCAGTACATTTTTAAGTGTTGTCATACTTTGACAACCAAAATATCTTGAAGTGGATTTATGAACTTTACTACCCTGTTCGGAGTATAATCGCACTACCGCCAAGAGCACCTTGTCGGGGACAGTTATGTATTGTTAGGAACGGAACTCTGAGTAAAAACATGTGAATTGTGGCTGTTTTTAATTTAATTTTTAGTTCCACCCAAAAAAAACTGGTGTTTTTTTTTTTTTTTTTATTTGGATTCTAACTAATATTAGTGTTCCAGAGCACAACGCAAAAAAGTAGTTAGTATACCGAAGTCGGCACTTCTCGACCAAACACAATCACTTGTGCTTAGCTTACTCTCTGCAGAAGCAGATGGCTCTGTGATGTTGAAAACACGAGAATTATGTAAACATTATATGGAATATCCTGAGGCGCGTGTTGTTGGGTTTCAGGTTTCCATTAAGAAGTTACTTTTAACAGAAACAGAAATACTTTAGGGCAACAGGTTTTGTTAAATGAATTAGAATAAAATAACAAGTAATATTTTCTAATCCTCGTGAGTGAATAAAATATCGGAATAGATACATGGTTTAAAGCAACAGTTGCCTTTTGAGAGAGTATGTGAAAGAAAAAAATCATTTCTGTATTTAGTTCCATGATTCAATTATCAAGAAGTTGAAACGCCTCTTACTACGGACTAATGATGAAATGCTAAAAGAACACATTCGGCAGTTCTTACTCCTCGTGGGAGATGTTAGCACCCCACGTGGGGCTGGTATTCGAGTACTGTCACTTGATGGTGGAGGTACGAGAGGTGTATTAGGCCTTGATATTTTACAAGCGCTAGAAAATAATTTGAAAGGATCAAAGGTAATTTTAATTTTTTCTGAGTGGAGGAGTAATTTTATTTGTACCGTTACCGATTAAAAATATCTCTTCAGGTTGTAGAGGTGTTCGACCTAATCGTGGGCGTAAGTACTGGAGCTATTATTGGTGCATTGCTTGCTGCTAAGAGGTTACCAGTTGGGAAATGTAAGGAAGTTTATATTGAGATCTCAAGGGAACTTTTTAGCCAAGGCAAATTTTCGGGGATGAGTGGCCTTCTTCTTTCACATGCTTACTATAACACTGAAAAATGGAAGCAGATCTTGAAAAACGTAAGTAAACACATTGTAAACATGTCTTTCAATATTTTTACAAATATCATCGCTTAGAAATTTTGTTGACTTGCCTGTCAAAGCCTTGTTTGTCGTTCAGTGTGCAAAGGAATTTGCTAGAGTACATATAATAACCACAGATATATTCGAATGCATCACTTTGTTAAAGGTTATTGGCGAAGACACATTACTGGAAATATGTGGACGTTGGGAAACTCCCATGCTCAGTATAGTAGCTTGTACTGTGAATACACCAACTCTGCAACCATACATTTTTCGTACCTATGGACATCCTAACGAAAGTGAAAGCCACTACCGTGGAGGATGTAATCACAAAGCTTGGGAGGCTTTACAAGCTTCTGCTGCTGCTCCGGGCTATTTTCAAGAAGTGAGCATATCATATGCTCCATTTGGTCATATATTACATAGAGAGAAGCTTATGACATTTTGTTAAACTGATGCTATAGTATATAAATAAACATCATGAGCTTGCTTAATTTATATTTCTTTGAATATTTGCTTTCATTCGCAGAATCTTGTTACATGTGGCATATTTCCTACAAATATTACTGAATAAATGCCCAAATTAAATAGGAACTTAATCAGAAATTTGCTCAATAAATGTTACTATAGAAACGGTATCAGCAACTTTCCTGAAATCTTACATAGGATTTCAGATAAGTTTTTACAGGTTTCACTTGGACCACTACTTTATCAAGACGGTGGTGTACTCACTAATAATCCTACAGCTTTAGCAGTTCATGAGGCACGCATGCTTTGGCCACATGAACGAATACAATGCGTTGTTTCTGTCGGTAATGGAAAGAACGTTTCAGAAGTCGAATTAAATGGCATAAAGTTCGCTGTAGACTCATATTTAATTTATTAAGATAACAGGGTTACATTATTTGTACAAAAAATGTTACTTGCATTACAGTAGTGATGTAGTACTTACGATCCCACCATCTAGCTTTTGCTATGATGTGTGCTAGAACAGAGTTCATTAAAACGCTCGCTCTAATGATTTTTGTTTGAGGTTGTCCACACGTCTTCAAGAAAAAATCTTACGAATTATTGATTCAGCTACGGACACTGAACTTGTCGACTTATGTATGCGTGACACTTTGTCAGAAGGATCATACATACGTTTTAATCCGTACACCAGCTACCCGTATTCTCTCGATGAAATCAATCCGAAAAAGTTCGTCATTAATCTACTACAAGTGTTAAGAGGAGCCTCATTTTCGATAAAAGAAATGTATTTGATTATGCTTGTCACCTCACCATACCATTCTTTACATGAGAGGAAATTGATGTAAATATATAAATATATAGGTAAATATATATTATTCAGATTGGAACAAATGAGTCAAGATGCACAACTCTATATTTCACGAAATCAGACCAAATTTGAGGCTGCAGCAAAGGTCATATTGGCTAAACCATCACTGAAACAGCGCGTTGTTCGAAACTGGAACAGGTTTATAATCCAGTGCTAAGTAAATAATAAGTAAAAATTTTTATAGCAATCCTGAAGTGCGGTTTGTAAAATTGAAAGAATTTGTGAAGACCCATCTGTGATTAGCTCTGATTCATTAGTTTATTTGCAACCGTTAAGTGTATCAATCTAATAGCAATACTTAAATGCGAAGTGCTGTCAAGTTATCGCGTAAACATCTAATCCATTTTTCAAAGCTTCTGAGAAATTCGTTGGGCGGGAATCCTTTCACAGGAGGCAAATCACAAAAAATCCCATTCGTCGCTAACAGTTCGTACGAGAAAAATGCCACCAATAAAAACCACCAGACTCTTACACATATTCCTGCAAGAATTTTGAAGCGATATTTTCAGCTAAAATAAGATAATATCTAGCCAATGTGAAGAGTGTTCCAAACTAACTGAAATCAAGACCAAACTAGATCAAGATTATGGAGACATACGGTAATTTACATAGAGACCTAGCCGTATACGCACTGCACGCTCCCGACATCCTTCGTCGGCAGTTCGAAAAAGTGTTAAAAACCAAACGTAATTACCAGTAGAATGGATTATGATAAATCCACGAAAGAGATCCTCCATGTGGAGATGGCGCTGCTTGTATGCGGATCATTATATATGTTCTGAAAGAGGCAAAACTAGAATAGTCCCACATAACATCAAAACCAACAAATGCAAAATTACATCAACTGACATGATACCCCAAATAAGTACAGCGCTTCTCCAACAAAGTTTTTTAAGCAACTGTGGAAAAATACCAAGTATTTCATTGAAACACACTATCAAGACAAGATTTTGATTCATTGGCACATACAAAATAAAGATAAAACAAAATTGCAAAAAGAACCTAGTACTACATGCCTCCAAGTTGCATAACAAACATAAGTAAATACGTGAGAGAAATCACAATGGAAAAGACATTATAGTCGGAATGAAGTGGCCAAAATGTAAAGGGAGGCGACTGAAGTGAGAGAGAAATGACAAATGATGGCTAGAAATTAGAAGGGAAATAAAATGATTCCAAATAATGCTTAGTGAAACAAAACAACACATAGATTTATCGTGAAGTGAAATGAGGGGAAAAGTACAAAATCAAGACTGAAAGCTATAATGTCATTTCAACGCATCAAGCCGATGGATGCATCAGATGGTAAGAATTGAGGGATAGCTTTTAAAAAAGCAAATATCCATTTGTGGATTATAAATCAGCAAATACAACTGTCTAAACTATAAACAAACGAAGTTGATATAAAATGCAGATATAGAACATGAAGGTAGTAGTAATCCGCGTCAAATTTCAGATTTGCATTTCACCATTCTTTAAATAATGTATAAGGCCAGAAGCACTAACACAATTCTACCGTGCAATCATGACTAAATATCTGAGCCAACTCAAAACCTTGCATGTAAGCAGAAATCATGCCTTAAGGGCATATCACAATGTGTCAAAATCACATAATATGCTTAAAGAAGTAAGCTCTGACGTCGACTTGAGCGATTATTGCGGCTTGTACGATCTGACAATACTGAATCTTTGACCAGCCGAACTCCAGGAACTGACATAACAGATTCACAGTCAGAAAGCTCAAAAACTGCCCTCGGTAAACACTGTAAAAATGAATGCTGTAACGCATCTGCTGCTGATAACCGTTTCCGACCTTCATACTGAAATATCAAAATTTTAAACCAGACAAAGAATTCTATAAAAATCTTTCACGGCAAAATATTGGTAGCTCTTATTAAAAAAAACAGACTTTTTACATCATGCTATCGACTTGACGATGCACTTTGTACCTGAAGTAAACGGTGCAAGAGATCATTTGCATGCTGATCAATTCTCGAACATGCATTCTGCAGGACATTGGGGCGATAATGAGGGAATCTACACAAGCGAAATGTAGTTGAGTTACACATCTGCGGGTAACTCGTTGACGACGGAGTGCCAAGCATGTGGAATATTAAGAGAAGTTGCTCTTCAACGGCCGAGCCAGGAAACAACGCGTGTCCTATAACTTACTCCATATTTCTGATACAGAAATTCAGAAAAGATTTTACATCAAACAAATTATTACATTTTATCGTATGGTAAATCACAGTATACGTAAAATTTATAAAACATACTAAAAAATTACAAACCAGAAATCATTTCAAAAAGAATGCATCCAACGCCCCACATATCGATGTGAGTTGAGTAGTCTGTGGAACCCAACAAAACGTCTGGTGGACGATACCACAATGTTACGACCTAAAATAGTCTTTCACGCGATTCAAATTTCCACGCAGCATCAAATTGAGCGACATTCGAAAGTTAAACAGAGCACCATGAAGGGATAACTGTTACTTAACTAAGTTCGCTAATAAGATATGGCATATTGAAGATAAAACGTTCTAAGCAGAAGAAAAATATCCAGAATAGCCGCTCCCACCATGCAGTGATACCAGATATCAAAAACGGTTGTTGAAAATGAAAGTTTCATTGTGGTATCAAACATTTTTAATCTTCAACATTTAGAAAAAACGTACCTCATTTGAATATGTCTTTGTAGGTATAGACTTCGCTCGTGCCAAACCAAAGTCAGCAAGTTTGAGTTCACCTTTTTCATTAATAAGTAAATTTTGTGGTTTTAAATCACGATGCAAAACACGTCGCTGATGGCAATAATTTAGCCCTCTTAATAACTGCACCAGGAACAACTGGAAATTGAAATAATCAAGAAACATTATACCGTTTCAACACTTAAATTGTATTGTTTACATTGAACCGCTCAACTAACATACTTCTTTACAATACAGATTTCTACAGCAAAACAAGGATATACCCGAACATTCTTCATCGATATAACATCTTGACAGTCATCAAGATACTGTTTTAAATCACGATCAACGTATTCGAAGACAAGAGTGAGTATTCTTTCCGTGTGAATTATGTCATGCAATGTGACGATATTCGCATGGCGTAAATCTCTCAATATAGAAACTTCCCTAATCGCTGTACAAGGTGCTCCTTCTTCCAACTCTAAGCGTATTTCCTAGAAGATGGCTCATCACAACTAAGATATCTTCTGTTAATAAATGAAGGATTTAAAGACTTTAATTCTAATTTTGCTCAAAAAACGGAAATTAAACTATTCAAAGTCAACTGCAAAAGACGTTACTTTGAGCGCGACGAATTTTTCTGTCAGTCGAGATCGCCCTTTATAAACCGTGGCATACGTTCCTTCTCCCAGCTTCTCAAGTTTCTCATATGTTTCAAGTTTGCCGAAACCAATTTCGCTCTAAAGCAACATAAAAAGAATGAAATCAGAGTCGGAGAATCGAGAAAAAAATCACAACAGAAAATCAATTTTTGTTTGAAACGAAGAAAAAAAAAAGTTGTAAGAAAGATACTAGCGATGCACGACGATTTTTCCTCGTTAAGGGTTGATCTAATGTTGGTGTACGGTTCAGTTTTTCGATCACACTTAACGGAAGCCTTAGGTCAGCAGGAAGTGATAAACGCTTCTGAATGTCTTGCTGTAATAAAACTATGAACTGAAAAGGTTACCAAGGATATCTTTAACACCGACTTCAGTAAATGCAGAAAAACCAGCGGATAAATAAACGATATGAACACACTCCTCTCATTTCTGGAGCTATTTTGAAACAAAGAAAAAAAGATTACAGCTACTCTCAATCACGATGATCTGCAGCGACTTGCAATAGCATGTCTCCATAGATGTAGAATGTTGCGTTTTTATAACACAATAAAGTATCCATCGTGTGATTGTGAAAATGAATAGAATCTATGTGCTTCTTAGCAAATATAAAAGTTTGGGGAAAAAAGGACAGTTCTCCACCCTCACCCATTATTAGTTCATTTTCTTCCAGTTGGAAAGAAAATGATATATGGCATTAGTGCTGCCTTCATCTTTAGGAACACTTTTCCAAATTCCATTCACTAATTTTGATTTTACTATTTCCTTATTCTCCACTTTGTCCGTCCGTATTTGATACACCACTACTTATCACTTTTCTCCTATTTTTTGTGTTTATCCCTTATCCACCACTTGTTATAATAGAAGTTGCCCTAATAGTGCTGCTAGCCTAAAAGACGTTCTGCAAATCATTTATGTTATTGTACTGATATTCGCAAATCAACAGTTAGCTTCTCGTGTTACACACATTGATATGGCAGTAATTTCATCTTCAAATCCAAATACCTCGTTCCAGCGGCGCGCTGATTTCTGGCGCATTTTGACGCTGATAACATGACGATCAGATTGACTTGCGCATTGATCGCTACTACAAGGCGAAACCTCAATACTTTCACCATCAGATCCAAGCGCTTTCGTTTCATCAACAGCTGTGAAAACACGCAATTTGTGGGTGTAAAGAGTGAAAAAACTCAATATAAAGAAAATTATAATTAAAAAAATAAAACATATATTATATATGCGACATCCACATTTAACTTCAAAACAGTGAACATGTGGAAGTCAACATTTAAGTCAATTCTGATTTTAAGATTTATAACTATCTGAATAACAAATCTTTTCATACCTGACCCAGTACAACTTTGACATGAGCATACTTATATCCTTATGGAAAAGTTACTGATAAATGTTATTTCACTTGAAACAATTTAATTCAATAGATGGACAGTACTTCAAAAAATAAACTGTCTTCCTCTAGAAGTAGTATACTCATAGGAAGATGTAATAACTAGATGAATATGAAAAACACTCACACAGCGAAATGGATAGCCTTAAAACAATTTGCCATCCTTGGCGGAATGTCGTTTACGTGACAAAAAGAACTGAATCCATGATGCACAAATATTTGAAGTTGTATTTGCTATGGGAGTAGTGGAAGTACATCAGTCTCATCGCAAAAATTGTGCAGTATGATAGATCTGGACAATTCAGACACCATACAAATAAATCAGAAAGTTGAGAGTAAATGCAAATGAGATTGGAGACAAGATCAAGTAATGTTTACAAACACAACATACGCAACGCGAAGAGGAGTGTGACAAAGAAAAGCTAATCAAGCATTCTCTGTCTTCCTCAGACATCTCGAGCGACTTTACAATATTTCTTAGCATGCCATATTGGACGACAGTGTGAGCGTTGCCACATTTCGAAGTTTACAACTCTCTCTAAACCAATGAGTTCGTTCAAGCCTGCTCCAGTAAAAGCTTCAAATGCATCTACCTAAACACACTTTCACTAGCGTTACTGAACAAAGTGTTACTCTTACTTATCCAAAATCCTGCATAGATATACTTGCTTGATAAGCGAATGAAACTAGGAAATATAAGTGAATTTCACGAATTCCGAGATTTCTCCACTTCACCACTAAGTCCTATCCGCCGGTATTTCCAATTACAGTGGAGCTACCATGCATCTTGTTATAACTAACATATTTCATTAAGAGAGGATTTCATTTTTCAAAAGCTATGGTCATGTTATCGACTACCGTCATGATAGTAAAATTAAAGAGAAAAAAAAAGAGTCACTGTACATTAAATTGTTATGAAAATTGCTGTTATAAAAATGCTCCTATGTTATACAAATATTAAGTCTCGAGAAAATGATTTGGACTGCATTGTTGCACACCATTCATTGCAAATTTATGCTATTAACTATGAAGAACGAGGTAAATAAAATATTGAACTTCATTATCAAGAATACTATTCCTTATATTTAAAAAACTAAAACCTTTTAAGAGCAAGTCATCCACAAATATTTAATAACCTTATTATTTATTAAAAAATAAATTCACTAAAAAAGGCAGAGGACAAATTTTCTACTCCAGGAATTGATATTTTCGAGAATAACAAGGAAGTTTTGGCGAAATAGGGACCACGTAAAAAATATAAAAAAAACTTCTTGTAGTAGTTTGTAGTAGTTCAGTAAAAAACTTCTTGTAGTAGTTTGACAAATCATGTACTGACTGTTTCTAAAGTGCCTATTCCAGAAATAATCAATACAAGACTTCTGACACTACCATAAAGACACAAATCTTCATTATCAACAATTTCATTTGTTATCTATATCCATCAAAATTAAACTGCAAGTTCTGGAAGGGGTTCACAAACGGAAAGTTAACCAATGGAAATGAAATTTTTGTTTCCAAGAAAAGAAACTTCTTGATCTGGTACAGTCAAGTTATTAATCGAAGTGTTTTACATTTTTACAATTTCAAAGACATGATTTAGTATTGAATATGGATTTATTGCCTTTATTGTAAGCAGTTCTGCACGTCTAAATGATTAACACTTTTTTATCTTACACTTAGCTGTGCTAGTATTAAATATCCTGTTTAATCTAGTAAGTACTCAGGACCTTATTAGTATCACAAATCTAACCGTAATAAAAAGTACCCTTGACCTAGATACCATAAAAGTAATAACAGTACTTGAAAAATTTCCGACCACAGCATTACTTTCTAAAAATTGGATTCATTAACATAACCACTATAGTACAAGATTCTGAAAGTCCGTATAACAAGACCTAAAAAATAAATAAGACTCCATTTTCGAAGATAAGCAAATCAATCTTACAAGGCTGTTTAGGAAACATAGAATATTGATGTTCGGTGGGCGAGTATGCTTTCAGATTCTTCGGATAATCTGAGCGGAAATGTCGCGATACTGGCACCGGAAGACGATTCTGCTTCATACAGAAAACAGGAAATGGAACTTTGGGTATGATTACCGGCGGGATATCGCATTCTTCAATAATTACTCCATCTGCCGCTAAACGTTCTGCCAGTTCACTCATCGAGTCTGATAACCGCCAGTTTCTGGAAAGTATGAATATGATCAATTAGGCCATTATAAGGACATCTCTGCAACATATCGGAATTCTCATTCTGAAAGAAACCTCTAATGAGTCTCCTTCTTTCAAAGAACTAGAATGACCTTCTATTTCATATGCTCTAGATTCCCAAGAAATTATCAGTGGTGAAAAATGCAGTATGTGAGAACAGCACAAGCAAAAAAAACCATCATTATGAGATTTGCCAACCTTAATTCATGAACTTCAGAAAAATTTGAAAAGTATCAGCATGTATCAACCTACCTGACTGGCGAGGATGAAGCCATGTCGCTCCCACGAAATACAGAATTGATGCGCCTTTTCAACTTCTTCATGTGAATTAGCAATACTAACAACAACAACAACAACAAGAATAAGACGTCTAACTCAGTACATCGTTTAACCTAAACCAACCATCCCCCACCGTGTACGACTTCACGCAACGACACACTTCGACTACTCAATTTCAATATTTAACGCGGCCAAGCTGAATGACGATTCACGTTGTGTGGGTGAAGTTTGACGATTTGGGGTGCGTAGGATTTGATTTGCGTCTCGCTATATGTTCGTAGACGAATCTGATCAGATCACTGTTGATATATGTTCCCACACTGAGCGATTGACTTGTTATCTTGCAATCGATGAGCCTACCACGTATAATCATTTAATAGTGTAACTTATCAGTCGTATAGTATGCATTTTTTCCAAACATTTGGTATTTCTTCTAAAACGTTGATGTATCAGCGTAAATCATATATTTTAATAAACAATGAAATAAAACTGATTGTGTTGTCATTGAAGAGTAAAAGGTTAAACTATCAGTAATAGGACTGAAGTTATGATAGGGAGTTTACAAGATTAAGCTCTCTCACTTTCCTCTATTTTTTGTTGAAAATATCAAACTTGCTTAGAAAAGCATAAGCTTGCAATGAAAAGGAAAAGCAATAGTGATTGTGAGGAGTAGAGTTAGTATACTTCACTTTTTATTGCATCAAAAATATTTCTGAGAATCTTTATCTGGTAGTCTCGAATGCACATGTTGTAATTTCAAATTTCTATATATAGGAAGGTTATTTTTCAATGTAACTGTCATTTAACTATTATTTAGTACTTTACTTCATAGCTGTTATTTAGAGATTTCTACTAGTCTAATACGCTTTTTCTGATTTTCAAGAAATCAGACGAAAAGTAGAATTGGCAAATAAAATTTACAAATATTTGTTATAATGTATTTCAGCAAATGAAATCAGTGTACTGATTACTGCAAGAAAATTTATGAATTTTTGATATGGTTTAAGTACACTACATGCGTTGCTACTAACCCTCTGTCGATGCTGTGAAGAAAAATCGTCCTGTTGTTGTGTCACACTTGATGTTCTGTTTTTATTTTTTATGAACCACTTAATATAAAACTATGAGTTTCGATTATTTGTGAATAAAATGCTAAAATCATGCCAAGTAATCACATCCAAAAAACTTCTTCAAACACGCCCAAAAATGCTGCTACATATGATATCATTTGTCTGAATGGTTTTTGGGTGTTACTATGCAACAACTTAACCATTTTATTTGTTAAAACATAAATTTATGCATCACTCATTATTTTCAATCCGCAAACACTCTGAAGTAGAAAAAATACGCCTTGTTTGTTAGTCGTGACTTTCAAAAAGTAATAAATTACTGAGACACACTATTTTCTGAGAAGGGAAAAATTAGCAGAAAATGCTGCTATACAAAACTTTATGAATTCCTATATTAATAAGTCATATGAGAGAAAAAATGATAGTGATACATAGCAATATATGTAAACAGCAATAAGTGGAGTAGGAAAACCGAACAACAATTTATGTAATTCAAAAACTGCAAATCAGGGATTCATTACTTCCCCTACTGCATTTAAGGAACTGTCGTTTCTTGAAACTTCTTGTACTTTTTCTTGGCTAATTTTCAGTTAATTGTAGGACAGGTGTAGAAAAAACAGCTGAATGTGTGCTTTTAAGGGGAGGTGAAAAAAAGCGCAAATAACTTCTCTGAAGAAAAATAGGATAATGTATGGTTTCCTGAGTACCTTCATAGGCTTGACTAGTTGTCTGAAAAGGGTAAGACGTTCGGTTTCTAAAACCAAACAAAAAGTTTTTGCCTGTCCATTATTGTATCACTCTTATATTTCGTATAAATATTAGCTGATACCGTCGCTAAACAAATTTACATCATTGGCTTGAATAAACCCACACGCATTTAAGTTGTGATTTTCTATTTTTAGACGACTTGAAAGAATTATTGAAAAGAAATAACCAAAGTGTTGTGACAAATATTAGGCGAAGAAATTAGTAGATCATACTTTTTTTTACTTACTGCTTGGTATTGTGAAATGCATTTAGAATAACATCAGTAGTAGTTGAAAGTACCATTAGAAATTTCAAATTCTCAATTGTGTTTTAATTAGGTAAATCTGTTTTTCTTGACAATGCTATAAAGTTGTTGGGAATTCCTTTCAGATTTTGGGGTAGTGAGACTATTTGATTGTAATGAAAGGAGCAAAAATTATGTACCCAATCAAAAATCAATAGAAGTTAAGGTTAAAGATTCTAAAAAAGTAATTATGGATGGTCGCAGTGCTCGCGAATAGCCAGGCATATACTATGAGCATGGTCCTCCAACACTGGGACGATAACGGAAAATACTGATGGTTATGGAGAAGATAAAAGAACAATTTGCAACAGATAGACAGTGCCAGAAAATGAATCATAAAATGATTGAAAGTACTGTGGCCCAATCACAAATTGAATTGTTACAATCGGTTAACTGTGCAAAGGTGTTTGATATCCGAGTGGAGCGAAAACGAAATGTTCGAAGTGATGCAACTTCTCCTTGATGGATTCAATTCATTTAACTCGGCCTTCTCCTTATGATTTACGCAGTCCTGTCATCGTGAAGATGCACAAAAACGGGCAGAGAAGGGCGTGGTGACAGCGGCTAGGTCACCAAAGTGGATGAATCGTCAGCGATGAGATTGTCGGTCAAATCACTTTAATTATCACCACCACTACTGTGCCCATTTCAGATATTAATTTCATCATTCAGCTCCTTACAAATAACAGTGTGAAGAATATTCTTCGAAGAGAGAAACCACAATCGTAATTAGTTAACATATTGAAACAAAGATTCGTACATGAAAACAAAAATTTTTGAAATTCAGTGCTACGAATTAGCTTGAGGTAAGCCAATTCTGAATCACATGTTAGATTAAGAGCCGATGTGCGCTGGTATGTAATTGACATCAATAATTTAATTGTGATATTTCTGATGAGGAGCAGCCACTTGGTTAATAAAATGGTTCAAATAAGTCTCAAGATTTATTTTAGTTCAGATCTGTCTGGAAGGTATAAATTCGAAGAAATCGAAACGATTGAAATACGGGAAGCAGTTTCATTCAGTTTTATTTTTCCTCATTTCCAAGGATAAATTTTTGTCAAATAAATCGAATATAAGTAATCACAAGATGTTTTCAAGAAAGAAAAATAATTAGCATTTTGTCATAGTGATACTTGCTTTATAATGTGGTCCTCTTATACTTCGAACACAACAGAGAAACTTGCTTCTGTAGATTGCTCGTTTAACCAGATGTTCAGTTACTCTTTAAAATGTTCCTTCAGATAAAGTGAAACTTACATAATTCCTTACTGTTTTCGTGTGGCTATAAAGCCGTAGAAATTCCATTTTCGGATTTTTCGAACAAATAGTTAAATAATAGGTTTTGCAGACAATGTAAGTAAATAACGACTTTATAACGAATGCTACATATAATTTAAATCACATCGTAGAACTTAAAATTAGGCATAAGAAATTCAAAGTTCTGAAAAACGATTTCAGTAAAAATTGCAACCAAACATTGAAATCGTGATGATTCAAAATATTAGATCGAATATTTATGAACAGTTCAGTTTACAAGCTTTGTTTTGAAAAGACTTAAAATAAGTCCGAAATCTACGTTATTGAAATAACACAGAAAATTATGCATAAGATATTAAAATTAAAATAACACTAAATTAATCTAAGAAAAAATTAAAAATATAATGGGCAACAGGATAGAAAACAGAAAAACGATGAGGTCAAAAGAATAATTAAATGAATAAAAAAGTTTCTTATTGGATGCTCACCATTATGACATATGATTCTGAAGGATTAAATGATACTATGCTTCTGCAGTAAGCATCAAATATCAGAAAACAAATCAACCTTTTATAATGTGAGAACATTATAAAAGACTGATTTGCTACATTTAATTTTTTTTTGCTACATTTAAACACAAAACAACCATTTAAATTGCAAAAATTATTGAACCACTCACTGCATGTTTCTAAGAAGTTTATGAATAAATGCAAACATATTTACATTGGTCTATCAAAAATAGTAAATATTGTCATCAATAAGTAGTGCTTCAAAATTTTGTTAAAATGCATTTTGCAAAGAATGAAGATTAAAAGCAATGAAAAGATGTATCCAACAAATAGATACTAGGATTAATATTACCTTAGAATACAATTAAGAAATGGAATCGAAAGTTTCATCTTCAGTTACTGGATCTTTCGCAAATTTGCGTAAGTATGCTTTGTCAGTTATTTCACTGCTTGTTGTTTCAAATGTCAAATTCTAATTTTACTGTTGTTGCTGATAACATTTTGAAAAGACTTGCTTTGGTGTGGATGCATAAGACATTCAAGCTACTTTTTTACTTTAATGAGTTCACCACTAAATACCCCCATATTAATGCCTAAACTGATCGTTTTAGGGAATTTTAAGATGACCCTGTCAAGTTCATAGGATTATTCATTCAAAAGATCATAATCATATGCGTTCCCTTTGTTAATGGCATATTTTTGAACTCAATGGAACGGGTGGTTTTGTCAAACACAAAAGAAAAACTGTCAGTGAGAGGAATAATCGATATCTAATTAAAAATG